GAGAGACGCACACACACACACACACGCACACACACACACATACACGAACACACACACACACACACACACATACACGAACACACACACATACACTCATACACACATAAACCCCCCCCTCCCCCTCCTGCACCCATACACGCACAAAAGCCCCTAAAAATATATAACAAAAACTGCAACTTGTCAAACGCTTATCAAACAACACTGAAGTGGAGAAAGTTTCTTCTTTTCAAAGGGACGGACCAACAGGGTCAAGTGTTGAGCGTGCCCCAAAGTAGGAACCGTCTCATCAATCTAACCACACAGCGAGACGTGACGGTCGGAACAGCCGTGACAATACGAGGGGACTCATATGAAAGACTTCTCCGATCAATTATTCTAAAATTAATATCTCGCCTTTCCATGCGTCCAACGGGGAAAGCATTAACCATTCTGTTTGGGTTCCGTGTCATAAATAAAGCTCTTTACTTTTCAGCACAGAGCGCCAGAGACGTTGTACAATAAGTTGGGAAGGCAATGTTGTGGCGCTTTAGTTATTGGTGGAGAAGATATATACAATGTTAGACTAAAAGGGTTTCCGGGAGAGAGAGAGAGAGAGAGAGAGAGAGATGGTGAGAGATCGATAGATAGTGAGAGAAACAAGAGATAGAGTGACACGCAGAGAAAAACAGACAGATAAACAGACAGAGAGTCCGAAGAGAGACAAAGAGAAAGAAAGAAAGAAAGAAGAAAGAAAGAAAGAAAGAAAGAAAGAAAGAAAGAAAGAAAGAAAGAGAGAAAGAAAGAAAGAGAGAAAGAAAGAGAGAAAGAAAGAAAGAAAGAAAGAGAGGAAACAAAGAGAAATTGAGAGAGATAAAGCATGGTTATCATTACTAATCAAATTAGTATCACCAAAAACAGTACTTCTCAAAACCACAAACAAGAGGATTAAACCACCAGCCAGACATCAGCTTGACATCAAGACCCCCATCTCGCAACCTCAGATAAACCATTCTCCCACTTCGGCAACACTTTGCCTCACAAACTGATAAAAACACAACATAGAAACTATCACAGGGAGCTGGGTAGCGGGCGAGAAACACGGCGTTTGCTAATCACGGGTTACACTTGTCCGCACGATAAAGGCGAGATGTTGATGGAATCTGTCTGGTCTGTCACGGGCGATAGTGTCAGGCGATGAAGTACTTTAGTGTTTTGAGAGAGAGAGAGAGAGAGAGAGAGAGAGAGAGAGAGAGAGAGAGAGAGAGATG